TTAATTCTAAGCGCTTATGAATATATATATATATATATATATATATATATATATATAAATTTATATTCATAAGCGCTTAGAATTAATTCGATCTGTTTCCTTTCAATAATGTAGTATAAAAAATACCGCAATACTTTATTGCTCTATTTTTTGCTTAAATTGAAATAAAATTAAATTTAATCGATTTTATCTGAAAATTCCAAGAGAATGTTAAAAAATGACTGCCTAACAATTCAATTATTATCAGTCATTAATTGAGTCCTGATGTAATACCGTCCTACCAATAAATATCTTTATATTTATATTAATACCATAATTTTCCGTATTAATTATGAAAAAGGCAACTCATTATTAATATATGTATTATTTTATAAATTCATAATTCTTTGGGGCGTTTGATCTATACCAGCAAATTCAATATCTTCGGCCTTGGCTCAAATATGTTTTCTTCATTATTTATTTTTTAAAGTCGGTGGGTCAATTCTTAATAATATGTATTAAACACTAAGTTGTCTAAGGATATTTCCCAAATTTCTTTTTTTTGATGTCAGATGAGAGGAGAAATTGTTGCATTCAAAATAACCATAATGTGCTCATATTAGTATTATGTGTTTAGCGAAAGTTGTAAATTAGCTTGTCAGAATTTAACCTCAAAAATCATACTGTTAGTCATATGGACGAGGATTTGGAATACTGGCACATTCGTACTACTGAATCATTTAATCGTGCCCTACTAGAAAAAGTAATACATATCTTTTAAAAATAGTTCTTTAGAACGCAACTTTACGTTTGGTAGCTGAAGATGGGAAATATGTAAGTTGAATTGATTTCTTAGCTTTTAGTTTCAATGTTTATTTCTACTTCTTATTTTCATCTTTTTAGACATTCTTTACCCACGATTCTTCATCATCAAAGCAATTCGACTCCGTCTTGGATCAATCTTCTTTAGATTTCCCTCTTATCTCCTTCATTGATAGACATGGGTAACGGGAGGTTTCTTTACTATTTTATATGCAAGTTCTTTTTTGTGTTCCTTATTTCGATACTTTATTATACCAAGTGGTCTATTTATCATTTTGTCAAATCTTTATCGTTATAGTGTTACTACTAGTGTAATTTTCATTCTTTTTTAATTATGCGTATTTGGGTTGTTAAATACTTTATTTACACTTTTTTGCACTTTCGTGTAAAAGAAATTGTCAACATTTGGGTTCAATCAGCGGTCGACTTCGCATAGCTGCCAACAATGATTCATTCGATCAGCTTCGTGAAAATGTACTTAAAGTGAAGGAAGACTCCAGGAAAACTAGGTACGTACTTTTTCTGCATTATTGTATATTTGAGCAAATTTTATCCCATAGATTGATTCTCTGGCAATTTCCATTTGCTTTTTTACTTAATTTGTTTAAGTAACGTTAGCATTACTTTCGCGACAAAGGTTTATCTCCTTTGTAATTTCATTAACTCCATTGTGATTCTAATTATTCGATCACCCTTATGTCTATTTATTAAAATTCTATTTAACTTCTCCTATCTTAAATAGCTTTCTTGACTTTATCTGAACTCACTCAAATGACTCATTTTGCCTATTCTGGTTACTTCTTGACTGAACTCATGATTTTAATGACTTTTTATTTATACTAAATTTTGCATGCCAAATTTTTGATAATATTTACAAATTATCGTTTGAGAAGGATGGTTATTTCTTCTATTTTTATGAAACATGTATGTATTTCAGAAAATTTATAAAATTTGAGGTAGGTTTTATTACTTTGCTGTTATAAGTGTTTGCCATGGCCTTCTGTCAATAATTGATCACAAGTTTAAGTGATTGCTGGTGACTCAGCTATAAACTCTGTGCAGAAGACTTTGAGCTTCACTGTAGTGTGGCTCATAGAATTGTTTGTAAAATTGTGATAACAATTTATATTATTACCATTATATCGAACCCAGTATAAAATGCCTTCTCCATTCTTAAAGAGATGGAGTGTTTGAAGGAAGTTTTACTAAGTAGAGTGTAAATTTGGCCATTATACCTTATGACATCGTTACATTCTACTAAAACTCGGTGAATGGATATGCGGGTTCAAATTTAAGATATTTGACTTCATTATACTTCTCTAATTGTCATTATATTCTATTTCTATTTTTTTGCAATTTTCCTTGTCAGCTTTTGTAATTCGCCATCTCTGATAAATTGGTATTTTTTTAACTTAATTAACTCTATTTTTCTTCCTTTTATCCGTTCCACCATTAATTTTTTATATGCTTTTACAGCACCGTAACAATGTTCCCAGATAAATTTTCCCTAAGTCATCGATTTTAATTGTTTATTTATGGGAAGTGGAAAAATATAGTTTATTTATCGTTTTCAGCTTTTCCGTATGGAAACCTGCCACATCACGATCAAAATCAACTCCTACTATTTCTCGACGGGTGAGTGTGCTTTATTTTTCATTTTTTTTTCAGTGCTGCGATCAGAACATGCGCATTTAATGTATCTTGCATTAAAAATTTTCTTTTTTCTAAACTCTACTGTTTTCTTGCAATTGAATAGAGTAATTTGAGGGGTGAAACTCTTCATACCACCCTTTTGTTGACTGGGGGGACCTAAATAACCATTAGTTGACGCCTTTATTGTCATTTTAAAACTAGTATTGTTCCCTATCCACTCTACTAAAACTAATTCTTAATGATTTCTTTAATCTATGATGGTTCCTCGTGTTTTTTAACCTCATTTTTTGTGTTTTACTCAGTACCTAATTTTGTCCTTTATGCAATTTTTAGACGATCCCTTCGAAGTGCTATGCTCAAACCAGAGCTTCAAACCTCCGGTAAGTCCGTTTATAATTCTTATATAATCGTGCACTTATTGATTGCATGTTTAAACATTTGTGTACTTTAGGTAGGGAAAGGACAATATCTCTGTGCTTTTCTCTTAGCATTCACTCTTGTTTGAAGTTGAATAGTTTATTTTTCGCCCACATATTTAAATTTTGAATTATCTTGTCATTTGTGCATTTACTTGCCTTTTCTGTCATGGTTTAATGCAAATGATGGTAGTTAATAGCTATTCTTCGTTTATCGTGGTCAAAGAACGGAGTTTACCGAAAACTACACTGTACGCTGCCTCCCTCGTTTCGTTAATTTACTTAAAAACTTTATTAGGTTGAGGGTAAAATGGCTTAATTTAATCTTTTTAATTAAAACAGAAATTTAATTTGTATGAATTTGAAGGTAATCTTTATTCTATGCTGCTGTTTAAATTCGCTTTGAAGTTGTGGTGTCATCTAACAATCGAATTGGCTTGCTTCAACATTTTTAAGGATCTTGTGATTGCTTGAAAATGGTGTGCAGGGTCTTAAACAAGTAAAACACGAATTTTCTATTTCTATCATGCGAATGTTTTTGTTTGTTCCAAATAACCTGCAAATGCCCAAACTCTGTAATAACTCAGGATTAAGCACGCCCACTGTAATTCTTTTAAAGTTATGCACCTCAACGATATTGTAATTAAACAAATTTTAATCAAATGGTGCATTTTATGAATAATTAATAATTAATACTTGTATTTGAAGCCTTTTTTCCTCCACACAACAGTGTGCTACTTTCAAGCTGAGACCAATTCGGAAAGCTTTCCCTTCATTGGTGCTATTTGGTTCTCGAATCTTCCGTTTTGACTGTACATACTTTTATTGGTTGTGAATAGATATGTGTAGAGCATTCATAGCATAAAATATATTTGCAAGGGGGAGTGAACAACTAACCCGAAGCTAGCAGTTCCTGTAACGAAATAGCAAATGCGCCATGGGATGTTTGTTGTGAATCGATTGGCATTGATTCTGGAACCTCAGATTTATCAGAATACACTTTGACTACTTTATGAGTTTTAGCTCTTTGTCACAACTAGGTACGATAGATTGCTACTCCCCAAGTAGAAGATTGTAAGAGTCTTGCTACTGTCACACAAGCATCTGCTATTATGCTTCATAGAACGCAAATTTTAATGTTGAATTTCGTAATCAATATCTGTTAAGTGGGAAAGATTTCCTCATAATTAGCTTGAAATGATGCGGTTTGCAATAAATGGCAAAATCGAAGTACAAAACTTGAAATATCGATTAAGATATGATGATGATAATGGCGTTACTCCACTCCTTTACTTCCTAAATCTCCAGAATATTATTAAGTGTTTTATTCAGAAGTACTGCGTCTGATAACGGTGTTTTTTTACATACAGTCGGGTTAAAAATTGATAATCAAAATTCTATTGTTAAAATAGGACTTCAAAATTTTGTTTTTTTTATTCTTATACATGAACATTATCATACATGACACAAATCTCTCAGTAACTCAAGGAGATTATCGGCAGCAGATGGTTAACTGCGTCTAGCTACAAAAAGTCCCCTATGTTTTTATGCTTTTTCTATGATTTAAAACTTAGCATTCTTTCATCGTTTAGATTTTTATTGAGATACAGCAGGGCATATCTTTATAATCAATACTTTTAAAAGCAGTTGTCTCAATGAGTTGGTTTGGCTTATTGCTCTCATTGCTTGGTTTTGCGCTCAAGTAACTCAGCATCACTAATTTCACGGGCCTTTTAATGCTAGAATTTCTAAAGAACTAGCTTTGAATTCGAAAATTCAGTTGGCATTGGTTTGAAATTGTCTTTCATTTTTTCACAGGTCTTCCACTAAAGAAGCGAGTTCTCAAAATGCATCGGAACAATACCAGCGGGTCTTAATGGTAATGGAAAATGCTTCGAAGAAGCGGACTGAATTGGAGAAACGAATGGCAGACGCTTACTCAGACAAATCTCTATCGCAGGCCCAACTTGAAGCTGCCATTTCTGTAAGTTGTAGGCTGTGCACATAGATATCTCATGATACAAGCACCATGATTTAAGTGCGAAGTATGTCACGAAACTTCACAAACAAGTAGCAATGAGACTTCCATCTTCTTTTCCAGTGAATTTGTTGTTTATTTATATTTATTTCAAATGGCAGGCGTTTCGATAGTTATCAATTAGCCCTTTAGCTGACTTCGAGGAACACCAAAGTGACAAGAAGTCGAGAGGGGGGCAGAATAATGATTCACAGATGTAAAAGAGACAGACACAAAGGCAGTGAAAAGGTAAGATGAGTACTGTGAAAGGGTTGAATATGACATACAGTGGGGTCATGATAGTTTGAAGTCAGAAGTCAACTGCCGATTAATAGACTTTTTGCCGAATAAGTATACGTTGCCCGGGGTGCACACCCCGTGAATTTTTTATTATTT